ATTCTTTGGCATTGCCTTTCTTTGGGATTGGAATGAAAACTGACCTTTTCCAGTCCTGTGGCCACTGCTGAGTGTTCCAAATTTGCTGGCATATTGAGTGCAACACTTTCACAGCATCATCTTTGAAATAGCTCAACTGGAATTCCATCACCTCCACTAGCTTTTTTCATAGTGATATTTCCTAAGGCCCACTTGACTTCACATTCCAGAATTTCTGGCTCTAGGTGAGTGATCACACCATCGTGACTATCTGGGTCGTGAAGATCTTTTTTGTACAGTTCTTCTGTGTATTCTTGCCACCTCTTCTTAATATCTTCTGCTTCTGTTAGGTCCATACCATTTCTGTCCTTTATTGAGCCCATCTTTGCATATGTATATACATTTATATTCACATTTTAGCTAGACATTTATACTACTGCTAAAATCTCACCCATATTCCATTAGAAACTGATCAGAAGTCTGTCAAGTGATTTGGTTAGGTCATCTCAGATGACTGTGATTTTCAGAGAAAAGAAGAATTAAAAAAAATTTTTTTAATTACTCATCCCTTATTCTTTTAAAGGACAACAAGCCTTAATATATGTTCAACAGAAGACATACACCTTCATTAAAATATTAGCAGCCATAAATTTGAACAGCTCTGTATTTCCAAGCAGGGGAGAACATGTCATCTAGCAATTTCATCTCGTTTAAATATTTCATGATTTTAAGATCTTGTACTGCACACTTCACTCAAAACGTTATAGAGTGAATACAAAGTCGACAATTTTGTTTTTACTTTAAACATAGTTTTCTTCACTTGATATGAAGAGACTGTATTATTTCATGTTAAAACAAATAAGCATAGAAAATTCTAGAACATATTTTTTTTTTTCCTTTTTAAAAAAAAGATTACAAAAATTTTCCATTATTTGCCAGGGTCTGATTCATGGGAAACTTGGTGAAATACCCACTGTTTTCAATAGGACAGAATTAAATTTCAGAATAGTTTACTAACAGATATAATCCCAGTATCTTTAAGAATATTGCATTCAAATAAGTGGTGAAGTAGAAAATAAATGTTTGGGTATCTGGTATGTAAAACAAACAATTTGTTGAGCTTTTATTATTTTATTCAATTTTATATTGTGTTACATTAACATGTCCCATGTATTCTGTTTTTATGTGACGAAGACTTGATTCTTTCATGCCACATGCAAACTTCAGAAAAAATGTAATAAAAACAACAAATCTCACATCTGTAATAATAATGCTATTATTTCATTTTATTCTTCAGGTATGCATAAGTTTTCCCACTCTTTTGAAAATTGAGTGACATATAAATGACTCATCACCAACTACGAATAGCCCTGCATGTTGTAGAAGATGTATATTGGGACTTTTCTGAATTTTGTAAAATGTAATTAATCCAAAACATGATATCTCAATGCATTTTACTCTAACTCATGTAACAAGAAGTACATATGATCAGCTTATCAGTTGATAGCCTGAAATATAATTTAAAGGATAATTTTGAAAATGACCAAGAGACCAATGACAATCCAGAGGAGGAACTGATAGATGTTTTTGAGTAATATAAGACTACCTCACATAGTGATAATGGAAAGGTAGAATGCAGATAAGAGAAAGAGAGAAGATACTGAATGCCAGAGAATGAAGAATCAGAAATGCAGAGAGTGGAGATATACTTATTAATTGTGATCACCAGACTGAAGATTAAATTTTTAGCTATTGAGATGTCCATGATAGGGAAAAAATTATTTTTATTTATTTTATGTTATTTTTATGTTGACTGTGCTGGGTCTTCATTGCTACTGCAGGCTTTCTCTAGTTGCAGTATGAGGGCTTCTCATTGAGATGATGTCTCTTGTTGCAGACCACAAGCTCTAGGGCACATGGTTTTCAGTAGTTGTGGCACATGGGCTCTGTAGCTGTGACTCCTGGGCTCCAGAGCACAGGCTCAGTATTAGAGGTGCATGGGCTTAGTTGCTCCACAGCATGTGGGATCTTCCTAGACCAGTGATTGAACCAATGTCCCCTGCATTTCAAGGCAGATTCTTGGCCACTGGACCACTGGGGAAGCCCAGAAGATTATTAAGAAAATTAAACATGACTTCTGACTTTGAAGTATTAAGACATAGAGAAAATAATTTTACCTCTACATGTGACAAGGAGAGGGAATGGAGTGGTGTCCCATCCACAGTCAGACACTATCCCTCTCTAAGCAAACCGAATGGAAGTGCTGCACTTCAAGGCAAAGCAGAGTCTAGTTTCATGAATTTTAGTTTGAGGAGTAGGGGAAAAATGACAATAAAAATACAAGGTAGAAGACAAGAAGATGTGTTTGTGTGTGCATGTGTGTATTAAATGATATTTCTTTCAGTTTTGACCATGTTGAGGCTATGATGATAGTAATATAGTAAGCTGAAATTTAGAGATCTAAATTTGTTCAGTTCAGTTCAGTCACTCAGTCATGTCTGACACAGAACTAAATGCACTCCTGTGACCAGGGACAAGCAGAACTGAGAATGGATATGATTATCAGAAAAGGGAGAAACAGAGAAATATAGAGTAGGTAGAAGCAAAAGTTGAAGAGGAAGAATGAAATGAAAACAAAAGGGAGTAAGAGCATAAGCAGTCAATCAAATAAGGGAAAGAAGTGCAAGGAAGATCTATAGATAAATATCATTTAGAAATAGATGCAAACATACAGATAATATAGGTATATGGATATGGATAAGACCATAAACCCAAGTTAAGACTACTTCAATTTATATCTCTTATATTAATGAAATTACTAACAGTTCTCTGCTTCCATCGGGTGGAGAGGGAGGTGGGAGGGGGGACCGGGATGGGGAATACATGTAAATCCATGGCTAATTCATTTCAATGTATGACAAAAACTACTGTAATGATGTAAAGTAATTAGCCTCCAACTAATAAAAATAAATGGAAAAAATAAAAAAAAATAAAAATAAATGTCAAATTTTAGAAGATGAACTTAAAGATCCTGTGAATAAAGGAAGAGATATCCATATATATAGAAGCATGGTGGTGGTGGTGGTGGGTTAAGTCGCTAGGTCATATCTGACTTTTGGGACCCCATGGACTCTAGCCCATCAGGTTCCTCTGTCCATGAGATTTCCCAAGCAAGAATATTGGAGTGGGTTACCATTTCCTTCTGCAGGGGATTTTCCCGACCCAGGGATCAAACCCAGGTCTTTTGCATTGCAGGCAGATTCTTTACCAAATGAGCCACCAGAGAAACCCCATAGAGAAGTATAACTAAGATTATATGCATTTGCACCTGTGTGAAATTTTCTAAGTGTATGCAAGTATGCATTTCATATGTAACAATTAAAATTATTCTATGTATTCATTCTAAAATAAGCACTGAGTCCTTCCCTTTTAACATTAGACTTGCTGTAAACATACTTTCTGATATAAGAGCCTTCTGAGTGCTCCTTTCACCTCTGTGTTTCTCATGCTATAGATCATGGGGTTTAACATTGGAGTAATAATTCCATATAACATGGAGATGAGTCTGTCTCTTGCTGGGAAGTGTTGACTGGAAAAGGGACGTACATAGGTAAATATTGTCGTGCCACCAAATAAACAGACCACCAGAAGGTGGGAAGCACATGTGGAAAAGGCTTTACGCTTCCCTTCTGCTGACTGGATCTTTAGGATGGTAGATATGATGTAGAAATAAGAGATAAAGATGACCAGGAAGGCACTGCTTCCCAGGATGCCTGCTTCCACCAAAATAAGCATTTCTGCCACATAGGTGGATGAGCATGAGAGAGCGACCACTGGTGGGATGTCACAGTAGTACTGGTTAACTTGGTTGGACTTGCAGAAAGAAAGGCGGAATGTGGACACTGTATGAAGGAGGGAATTGAGAAACCCTGCTACCCAAGTCCCAGCAGTCAGCTGAACACAGCGAACCTTGGTAATGATGAGGGTGTAACGAAGAGGGAAACAGATGGCCACATACCTGTCATAAGCCATGACAGAGAGAAGGAAGACTTCAGTTCCCACAAGGGCCACCAGAAAGTAAAGCTGCAAAGCACACCCAATGTAGGAAATGCTGTGCTTCTCAGTCAAGAGGTTCTCCAGCATCTTGGGGACAGTAACTGATGGGCAGGATATGTCTAAGAGGGACAGATTTGCCAAAAAGTAATACATGGGTGTGTGCAGTTTTTTCTCAGTTCCAATGGCCAAGAGAATAACTCCATTTCCCACCAAGGTGACCTGATAGATGATGGTAAAGACCACAAAGAGAGGGTAGCGCACCTCGGGGCGATCAGAAAGCCCCATGAGGATAAAATGAGTCACTGTGGTTTGATTGCAGATGCCCATCTCTTCAATTCACATCGGTCTTTCTGGAAGTAATGTAACAAACAAAGATGAATTAGAGCAAAAAGTCAAAGAGGCAAACAATGAGAAATTCTTGCAGAACACATGGTGTGAGGTTGATCATGAATTATGTAAAATCATATCTTATTAGAGATTTTCATTATTATAAATCCTGTTAAATATATCTCCTGTGTTCATAATTCTTGAAAGATTTATCCTCAGTGGATCCTTGTCAAGAGAAATCCCTCTGAGAAAGTAAGAATACTTTTAAAAATTTGCCTTCAGTAATACCATTGTAGATTCTTCAGGAATGCTTGAGATTTCAAAATTCAGTAACACTAAAGTTCTGTTTCTCACATCTCCTTGGGCATTTATCTTATTTTGCCTTGTATTATCTCAATGTGTATAATTTTATACACTATCTCAACACAAACTGTTTGAGGGTAGAAGCTATATATTATTCCTTGGTATGTAAAATTTAATATCTGCTACCAACCTCAAATATATCATATAAAAATGTTTATCTAAATTATTGGTGAATAAAGGAATAAATGTTTTACTTGTATTGTATGAGAATTTTTATCTAAATAGTTCTTGAATAAAAGAATGAGTGAGGCTTTACCTGCTCTGACAAAATGTTTCTATTAGTAAGAAATAAATATGGAAACACTTTTGTAACTTCAAAGTTGTAGTTGTTTAAATACAAGCAACTATGTATTTTCCAGAAAAAGTATACCTTATATGATTAAGTTAGCCTATAAAATATAAATATGACTTGGTTGATAGTGTCTGACTGTCACCCAAAAAAGAAACAAATGCATTCATTAATATTCAATTTCTTTTCCTTTTAAAGTTTAAATAGTTGACCATGTGTCTGAGTATTTAAAGAATTATGAAGTTGCAAAAGTTAAATATGCTTGAACATACTGCTAATACCAAGTCTCCTGCATTGCAGGCAGATTCTTCACCATCTGAGCCACAGGGAAGCCCATTGGTGATACCAATTCTTATTTAATTTTCTAATTTCATTTCTATGTATCTTAATAATCCACATAATCATCCAGTTTATGATATTTACAAAAACTATTTTAATTGAAAATCTACAAATCAATATCTCTGTGGATTTTGTCACTTTGCAAACTTTTAAAATATCATATGCATATATTATAGAAAAATGTGATTACAAAATAAAATAAAAAGTCATTTTTGGTGCCCCCCTCCTTCACATTTATTGTGCCAACTGAAAGCTGTTAATTTATTTCTGAAATAAAATATATTAATATAAATAGCACTATTATACACAATGATTTATTTATATGCATTAAATGAAATTTATTTCAGCCACCTTTTCCCCATGAAATGTTTAAATAAAAATCTTTGAGACACTTTGGGAGATATTTTTACTCTTTCTACAAGCAACACCAGAACTATACCATGCTTGGGAGAAAAAAAAACTTTTATCAATAATTCTCAAATCATGACATTTAGAAAATAAGATTACTGTGATAATCACAAAGTATCTATAATTTTCAATCTATAGAAGACATTTAATGAATGAGTTAAAATGTCAAAACAAAAACATCTAATGTGTCACTTCTCAAATTCTCAAATTTTCAGTAGCCTATTGTGCTGTTCAATTTCAGTCTACAGTTAATATTTTAAAAATAATATAGTCACTTCAATAAATTTTTGAAGGAACTTTATAAGAAAATATTTTGAGATAGTGAATATTAATTTCTATACTAAGTACTCATTTTTCTTTATATCCATACTCACTAATTTGTTTCATTTTTTGCAAGGATTATGAAAAATAAGTCAAAATCATCCTGACAAACACATAAGGTAGTTCTACATAAGGATACATAATCAACACACATCTTTTAAAACATAATGAAGTGAAGTGAAGTCATTCAGTCATGTCTGACTCTTTGTGACCCCATGGACTATAGCCCTCCAGGCTCCTCCATCCATGGGATTTTCCAGGCAAGAGTACTTGAGTGGGTTGTCATTTCCTTCTCCATTAAAACATAATAGATTTTTGCTAAACTTTGCACTTTATTGTTTAAGTACGTTAAGTCAAGCTTAGGGTCTTGGCATATAGAATGCAGAATTTTTTCATTTGGGAAGGAAACTTTTGCTCATTTTAACAATACACTCCTTTTAAATCAAACATATTTAAAGTTTAGGTGTTTGATATCTAAATAGAAAAGTGAGTTTTTAAATTTAATTAATATATTGCTGAGGATGAAGTTCTGTAACATTTTGCATTAATCTAGGAGATTGGGTTAATAAAAAGAAAGAAATTCTCATGAAGTGTGATCTGTCACCTGGTTTGTGAAGTTAATTGGTGTAAATATAAGCATATGAATACACAAAGAGAATACAGGTTGAAAATACTCTTTTGTCATAAGCAGCCAAACATAGTGAGAACAGGAACTAAGATGTATGTCATAAGATTAGTCTTCTTTGGAAATTTCTTAGAAAACAAACTTTATTATTATTTGTATATGGCTTACCCTTTTACATATGGTGAAACCAACTGTATCATATATGAAGCTCTTTTCTTTAGCAAATAATCACTTCAAGGTTCAACTATACAGAGGAAAAAAAAATTGGTTAATTATTCAGGAATAATCACTGAAAAATGCTAGTTCTTAAGAAAATTCAAAATTTATAAGTTATTTAGCATATCAATTACAAAGAAAAATAATATATTTGTTAAAGCTATATTGCTAAATAATAAGTTCTATAGCCTTCATTTTTAATGCATGAAGTAATAGCCAAAATAATAAAGAAAAACATTCTTTTTACATATAATATCTCTACCTGCTTTGTGACATCTTTGTTCCTTATGGTTTCATGGACCCAGTTCTAGAGAATGTTCTTTCAGGTAAATGAGTCAGAAACACTGATTAGATTTTCACATTCAGAGGGTTTGGATGCACACTTAAGTGGGTATGCACAACTTTTATGACTTAATTTAAAGTATTTATAGAGACATTCATTCTATTATATTTGAAATTTTGCTCTTAATGTTACATGGTATTCAAGTTTAACTATTTTCTTAAATGTATACATTTTCTTAACATCCAATTATCAATCTTAGCTTAAAAAGTCTAGAATTTAATGTACAATTTTTGAGCCTTTTTAGTTTCAGAGGGCTAATTACAAATCCAAACATTCACTAAAAAGAAAGTAAAATGAACTAGCTTTAAAAAAGCTCAGTAAATACAAGCAAGCTACTCACTCCTACATAGGTGCATACTGCAATTTCCTTTATAGTATATATTATGCCCACTTTTTCCTTAGGGAGAAAAAACAATAATAAGGACTATAGAGAGCATATACTTCTCTTCTTCATAATCTAAATTACTACCAATCTAACAATGGACACCTGGAGGAAACAAACAAAACCTTGGAGACCAAGGAGAAAGGAGTAGTGACCCCACAAGAGACTGAGCCAGACTTGCTTGTGTTTGGGGTCTCTGGCAGAGGCGTGGGTTGATAGTGGCAAGGGTGATAGTGGTGGGGGCACTGACAGTAGTGGTCCTGGGAGGTGTGGCATGTTGGCATAAGTCCTTTTGAATGAGGTTGCCATTACTCCTACTATAGGTTGCCCTTAGGCCAAATTATAGGGAGGGAACACAGTCCCATCCATCAGCAGATAATTGGCTTAGAGATTTACTGGGCACCATTTACTTGCCCACCAGAGCAAGACCCAGTTTTCCCCCAGTCAGTCCTTCTCATCAGGTAGCTTGCACAAGCCTCTTATCCTCATCCATTAGAGGGCAGACAGAATGAAAACCACAATCACAGAAAACTAACCAAAATGATTACATGGATCACAGAATTGTGGAAGTTAATGAAATTATGGCCCATGCCATGTATGGCCACCCATATGGAGATGGAGAGTATTGTCAAAACCTGATCCCCTGGAGAAGGATATGGCAAACCACATCAGCACTCTTGCCTTGAGAACTCCATGAACAGTATGAAAAGGTAAAAAGATATGACACTGAAAGATGAACTCCACGGGTCAGGAGGTGTCCAATATACTACTGGAAAAGAGCAGAAAAATAGCTCCTGAAGGAATGAACAAACTGAGCCAAAGCAGAAATGACTCCCAGTTCTGGAGGAGTCTGGTGGTGAAAGTAAGGTATGATGTTGCAAAAAACAATATTGCATAGGAACCTTGAATGTTAGGTCCATGAATCAAGGGAAATTGGCAATGGTCAGATAGGAGACTGCAAGAGTGAACACTGACATTTTAGAAATCAATAAATGAAAATGGATGGCAATGAGCTAATTTAATTCAGATGGCCGTTATATCTACTACTGTGGGCAAGAATACCTTAGAAGAAATGGAGTAACCCTCATAATCAACAAGAGTCCATAATGCAGTACTTGGGTTCAATCTCAAAAAAGACAGAATGATCTCAGTTCATTTCCAAGGCAAACCATTAAATATCACAGTAATCCAAGTTGATGCCCCAACCACTAAATTCTAAGAAGCTGAAGTTGAATGGTTCTATTAGAACCTACAAGACCTTCTACAACTAAAGCCCCAAAAGATGTTCTTTACATTATAAGGGACTGGAAGACAAGAGCAGGAAGTCAAGAGCTACCTTGAGTAACAGACAAGTATGGCCTTGGAGTACAAAAGAAGCAGGGCAAATGCTAACAGAGGTTTCCCAAGAGAACACAAAGGTCATTGCAAACACCCTCTTCCAATAACACGAGAGATGACNCACATGGACCACAGCCTTGTCTAACTCAGTGAAACTATGAGCCATGCCGTGTAGGGCCACCCAAGACAGACAGGTCATGCTGGAGAGTTCTTACAAAATGTGATCCACTGGAGAAGGGAATGGCAAACCACTTCAGTATTTCTACCTTGAGAACCCCATGAACAGTATGAAAATGCAAAAGGATAGGACACTGAAAGATGAACTCCCCAGGTCAGTAGGTGCCCAATATGCTACTGGAGATCAGTGGAGAAACAACTCCAGAAAGAATGATGACCATTCAGGTATGACCTAAATCAAATCTCTTATGATTATACAGTGGAAGTGGAAAATAGATTCAAGAGATTAGATCTGGTAGAGTTCCTGAAAAACTATGGAGGAGGTTCATAATATTGTACAGGATACAGTGATCAAAACCATCCCCATGAAAAGAAATGCAATAAGGCAAAATGGTTGAGAAAAGAAGAGAGGTGAAAGGCAAAGGAGAAAAGGAAATATATACCCACCTGAATGCAGAATTCCAGAGAATAGCAAGGAGAGATAAGAAAGCCTTCTTAAGTGAACAATGTGAAGAAATAGAGGAAAACAATAGAGTGGCAAAAACTAGAGATCTCTTGAAGAAATTTCAAGATTCCAAGGGAATATTTTATGCAAAGATGGGAACAATATAGGACAGAAATGTTATGGCCCTAACAGAAGCAGAAGATATTAAGAAGAGGTAGCAAGAATACACAGAAGAACTGTACCAAAAAGTTCTTAATGACCTGGAAAACCACAATGGTGTGATCACTCATCTAGAGCCAAACATGGTGGTGTGTGAAGTTAAGTGAGCCTTAGGAAGCATTACTACAAACAAAGCTAGTGGAGGTGATGGAATTCCAGCTGAGCTAAAAGATAGAATTTCAGCATCCTAAAAGAATTTGCTGTTAAAGTACCACACTCAATATGCCATCAAATTTGGAAAACACAGAGGTGGCCACAGAACACAGGCTACAGGAAAAGGTCAGTTTTACAATCCCAATGAAGGGCAATGCCAAAGAATGTTCAAACAATTGCATAGTTACACTTATTTCACATGCTAGCAAGATAATGCTCAAAATACTTCAAGTTAGTCTTCAAAATTATGAGAACTTACCGATGTACAAGCTGGATTTAGAAAAGACAGGGGAACAAGAGATCAAATTGCTCATGTCCATTGGATCATGAAAATGTAAGAGAATTCCAGAAAAACATCTACTTCTATTTCATTGACTATGCTAAGGCCTTTGACTGTGTGGATCACAATAAAGTGTGGAAAATTCTTAGATGGGAATATTAGACCACATTACCTTCCTTCTGAGAAACCTGTATGCCGTTCAAGAAACAACAGTTAGAATGAATCATGGAACAACAAACTAGTTGAAAATTGGGAAAAGAGTATGTCAAGGCTGTATATTGTCAATCTACTTATTTAACTTATATGAAGAGTATATCATGTGAAATGCTGGGCTGGATGAGGCATAAGCTGAAATAAAGATTGTCAGGAGAAATATCAATAATCTCAGATATGCAGATGACACCACTCTAATGTAGAAAGTGCACAGGAATCAAAGAGCTTCTTGATGAAGGTGAAAGAGGAGAGTGAAAAAGCTGGTTTGAAACTCAACATTCAAAAAATGAAGACCATGATATCCAGTCCCATGACTTCATGGCAAATAGATGGGGAAACAAAGGAAACAGTGACAGACTTTATTTTCTCAGGCCCCAAAATCACTGTGGATAGCAACTGCAGCCATAAAACTATAATATCCTTGCTCTTTGGAATGATAGCAATAACAAACCTAGACAGCGTATTAAAAAGCCTAGATATCATTTTGCTAACAAAGGTCCATATAATCAAAGTCATGGTTTTCCCAAGAGTCATGTATGGATGTGAGAATTGTACTATAAAGAAGACTGAGCATTTCTAAATTGATGCCTTCAAACTGTGGTTCTGGAGAAGACTGTTGAGAATCCCTTTGACTGCAAGGAAATCAAACCAGTCAATCCTAAAAGAAAATCAACCCTGAATATTCATTGGAAGGACTGATGCTGAAGCTGAAGCTCCAATACTTTGGCCATGTGATGTGAAGCGTCAACTAATTAGAAAAAGATCCTGATGCCTGAAAAGATTGAGAGCAGGAGGAAAAGCGGGCAGCAGAGGATGAGATGTTTGGATGGCATCATTGACTCAATGGATATGAGTTTGAGCAAACTCCAGGAGATAGTAAAGGACAGGGAAGTCTAGCAAGCTGTAGTCCTAATGGTAGGAATGTAAATTGGTACAACCACTATGGAGAACAGTATGGAGATTCCTTGTTGTGGGTGTGTTCTCAGTAGCTCAGTCATGTCCAACTCTTTCACTAAACTCTAAAGTTAGAACTACCATATGATTCTTTTTTACTTTCTCTTCCATCATAAGTTACTACAAAATACTGAGTATAGTTCCCTGTGCTGTATAGTAAAATCTTGTTGGTTATCTATTTTGTATATGTGCTATGCTTAGACCCCCAGTCATGTCTGAATCTTTGAGACCCCATGGACTGTAGTGTGCCACACTCCTCTGCCCATGAGAACTGTCCAAGTAAGAATACTGGAGTGGGTTGCCATGCCCTCCTCCAGGGGATCTTCCCAACCCAGGGATCGAACCCAGGTCTCCCACATTGCAGGCAGATTCTTTATCATCTGAGCCACTAGGGAAGCCCTATTTATGCTCTAATTCCAAACACCTAATTTACCCTTCCCCCTCTTCTTTGGTAACCACAGGTTTGCTTCCTATGTCTGTGAGTCTATTTCTGTTTTTAAAATAAGTTCATTTGCATGAATTTTTTTATATATCATATTTTTCTTTGTCTGGCTTACTTCACTTAGTATGATAATCTCTAGGTCCATCTGTGTTGCTGCAAATGATATTATTTCATTCTTCTTATGGCTGAGTAATAAATAGTCCATTGTATATACATAAACTATATCTTCTTTACCAATTAATCTATTGATCAGCATGTAGGATGCTTCTGTGTTGTGACTATTGTAAATAGTGCTGCTGTGAATATCGAGGTGCATAAGTCTTTTAGAATTATGTTTTACTGTGGATATATGCCCAGAATTGCTGATTCATATGGTAGCTCAATTTTTTTTTTTTTATTTTTAAGGAACATCCATACTGTTCTCCACAGTGATTGAACCAATTTACATTCCTACCAAGAGTGTAGGAGGGTTCTTTTTTCCCCACACTCTATGCAACATTTATCATTTGTATACTTTTGATGTTGGCCATTCTTATCACTATGAGGTGATACTTCATTGTAGTTTTGATCTGAGTTTCTCTAGTAATTAGTGGTTGAGCATTTCTTTATGTGCATTTGGCCATCTGTATGTCTTTTAGGAGAAATGTCTTTTTAGACTTTCTGACCATTTTTTGCTTGGTGTGTTTTCATATATATATGTGAAATAACTGCATGAGCTATTTGTATCTTTTGGAGATTAATTTATTGAGAGTCTCGTCATTTGCAAACTTTTTCTCTCCCTCTGTAGGACATTTTGTTGTTGTTGTTGTTTGCTTATGACTTCCTTTGCTGTGCAAAAGCTTTCAAGTTCAGTTACATCTTATTTGTTTACTGTTATTCTTATTTCTATTATTCCAGGAGTTGAAGCCATAAAAATATTGCCACGAATCAGATCTCAATTCAAGATGGTGGAGTAGAAGAGCACGCACTCATCTCTCCTGCAAGAGCTCCAAAATTTCAACTAGATGTTGAACAACCATCGACAGGAGAATGCTGGAACTCACTAAAAAAAAAAAAAATACTCCATGTTCGAAGACGATGAATAAACTGCAATGAGAATGTAGGAGGGGCACAAACATGATAAAATCAAATCCTGGTACACTGGGTGAGAAATGCACAGACTGGAGAACAATAATACCAAAGAAGTTTTCCCACTATTGTGAAGGTTCTGAGCCCCATATCAGGGTTCCCAGGCTGGGTATCTGGAAAAGAGACTAGGAATTCCCAGTGAATCTGACTTTGAAGGTCAGTGGGATTTGATTATAGGACTTCCGCAGGACTGGGGGAAAGAGCACAAACAAAATCTTGCATACATCAGGACCCAAAAGAAAGGAGCAGTAACCCCAGAGGAGACTAAACCAGACATACCTGCTAGTGTTGGAGGGTCTCCTGTGGAGGTATGGATTAAGAATGGCCTGCCACAGGCATGGGAGCCCTGGTAGCAGCAGTCCTTGAAGCAGCCCCATCGTATAAATCCTTTTGGTGGCCACCACTAACCCTACCATAGATCCCATAGACCCCGGAGCTGGGTAGCATAAGGTTAAACAATGAACAGGGAGAAAGCTCAACCCCACCTATCAACAGACAATTGGATTAAAGTTTTACTGACAATTGGATTAAAGTTTTAAGTGTCCCTTACCACTAGGGCCTAAGGAAGATCCAGTTTTTCCCACCACAAATCCCTTCCATCAGGAAGCTTGCACAAGCCCCTTAGCTTCATCCACCTGAGGGCAGACAGAAGAGAACCACAATCCCACAGCTGCTAGAATGAAAACCATTACACAGAAAGTTAGTCAAAATGAAAATGCAGAGGGTCATGTCCCAGATGAAGAGACAAGATAAACTTCCCATAAAACAACTAAATGAAGTGGAGATAGGCAATTTTCCAGAAAAAGAATTCAGAATAATGATAGAAGAGATGATCCAAGATCTCAAAAAAGGAATAGAGAAGATGCAGGAAATGCTTACCAAAGCTCTGGAAGAACNGCATGCTGCAGTCTATGGGGTTGCAAAGAGTAGGACATGACTGAGTGACTAAACAACAACAAAAACGTATGTCATGTCATATGCAAATAGTGATGGTTTTACTTCTTTACCAATTTGTACTGTTTTTATTTATTTTTCTAATTGCCATGGCTAGGACTTCCAAAACTATGTTGAATAAAAGTAAGAGTGGACCTCCTTGCTTTATTCCTGATCTGAGATGATATGCTTGCAGCCTTTCACCACTGAGTATGAAGTTAGCTGTGAGGTCGTTGTCATGTGCCTGAATGCATGTTAAGTCACTTCAATCGTGTCTGACTCTGTGCGACCCTATGGACTATAGCCTGCCAGGCTCCTCTGCCTATGGGATTCTCAAGGCAAGAATTCTGGAGTGAATTGCCATGCCTTCTTTCAGGGGATCTTCCAGAACCAGGGGTTGAACTCACTTCTCCTACGTCTCCTGCATTGGCAGGCAGGTTCTTTCCTGCTAGTACCACTTGGGAAGACTGTACCCACTTTATTATGTTGAAGTATGTTCCCTCTGTGCTTCTCAGGTGGCGCAGTGGTAAAAGATCCACTTGCCAATGCAAGAAATGCAGGATACAATCCCTGGCTCAGGAAGATCCCTTGGAGTAGGAAATGGAAACCCACTCCAACATTCTTGTCTGGAAAATTCCATGGAAAACGAAGCCTGGCAGACCACAGTCCATAGGGTGCACAGAGTCAGACATGGCTGAGCAGTTGATCGTGAGCATGTTCCCTCTACGCTCACTTTCTGGAGAATTTTTATCATAAATGAATGTTGAATTTTACAAAAGCTTATTCTGCATCAGTTGAGATGATTTTTTTTTATTCTTCAGTGTGTTAACATGGTGTGTCACACTTACTGATTTGTGCATTTGATCATGGTGATCTTTTTATGAATTTGGTTTGCTAGTACTTTGAGTAATTTTGCATCTATAATTATGAGATTGGCCAGATTTTCTTTTTTGTGCTATCTTTATCTGATTTTGGCACCAGGGTGATGGTGGCCTCACAGTATGAACTTGGGAATGCTGCTTCTGCAATTTTTCAGGAGAGTTTCAGAATGATAGGTGTTAACTCTTCTCTAAACTTTTATTAGAATTCACCTGTGAAACCATCTGGTCCTAGACTTATTTGTTGAAAGTTTTAAAATCACAATTTAAGTTTCAGTACTTGTAATTTGTCAATTTATATTTTCTCCTTCTTACTGGTTTGGTCTTAGAAGTTTCTATCTTTCTAAGAATTTCTTGCTTTCTTTTAGGTTATACATTTTATTGGCATGTGGCTGTTTGCAGTAGTCTCTTATGGTCTTTATATTTCTGCTGTGTCAGTTGTAACTTTTCTTTCTTCATTTTTAATTTTATTTGAGTCCTTTCCCATTTTTTCTTGATCAATTTGGCTGTAGGTTTATCAATTTTGTTTATCTTTTCAAAGAACCAGCTTTTAGTTTTAGTGATCTTTTCAGTCTCTATTTCATTTATTCCTGCTCTGATCTTTATGATCTCTTTCCTTCTACTACCTTTGGATTTTGTTTGTTCTTCTTTTTCTATTTGCTTTAGGTGTAACATTTGATTGCTCATTTGGTATTTTTGTTGTACTGCTATCAACTTCCCTCTTAGAACATGTTTGATGCAACCCATAAGTTTTGGCTCATCATGTTTTCATTTTGTCTCTAGATATTTTTTTGACTTCCTCTTTGACTATATTGGTAATCCACTGGTTGTTTAATAGCATATTGCTTAGCCTTTGTGGTTTTGTGGAGTTTTTTTGTTTTTCTTTTTGCATTTTTTTTATTATAGTTGATTTATAATCTCAACAGTTCTTTTGGTCAGAAAAGATGCTTGATACAATTTAAATTTTCTTAAATTTACTTTTAGAGAGGAGAGAGAATAAAAAAAGTTATATACATCCCTTACTTTTATTCAAGGACAAGAAACTGTGATATATGTTCAAGAGAAAAGATATACCTTCATCAAAGTATTGCCAGCCATAAACTTAAAACAGTCCAATACTTCCAAGCAGGGGAGAACAATGTCATCCAGTAACTTCATCCAGTTTCAATATTTTTAAAATTAATTTATTTTTTATGGAACGATAATTGCTTTACAGAATTTTGTTGTTTTCTGTCAAACCTCAACATGAATCAGCCATAGGTATACATATCTCCCCTCCCTTTTGAACCTTCCTCCCATCTCCTTCTCCTTCCCACCCCTCTAGGTTGGTACAGAACTCCTGTTTGAGTTTTCTGAGACATAACAACAAATTCCTGTTGGCTGTCTATTTTACATATGGCAGTGTAAGTTTCCATGTTATTCTCTCCATACATGTCACCTTCTTCTCCCCTCTCCCCATGTCCACAAGTCTGTTCTCTATGTCTGTTTCTCCATGATGCCCTGCAAGTAAATTCTTCAGTACCATTTTTCTAGTTTCTGTATATATGCATTAGTATATGATCTTTCTCATTCTGACTTCAATTTGTATAATAGACTCTAGGTTCATCCACCTCATTAGAACTGACTCAAATGTGTTCCTTTTTATGGTGGAGTAATATTCCATTATGTATATGTACCATATACATATCCTTTATCCATTCATCTGTCAGTGAACATCTAGATTGCTTCCATGTTTTAGCTATTGTTAATACTACTGCAGTGAACAATGGGATACATGTGTCTTTTTCAATTTTTGTTTCCTCAGGATATATGCTTGGAGTGGAATTGCTGGGTCATATGATGGTTTTATTCCTAGTTTTTTAAGGAATCTCCATACCGTCTTCCAAAGTGGCTGTATCAATTTTCATTCCCACCAACAGTGCAAGAGTTCCCTTTTTTTCCACACCTTCTCCAGCATTTATTGTTTGTAGACTTTTTGATGAGGGCCATTCTGACTGGTATGAGATGATATCTCATTGTAGTTTTGATTTGCATTTCTCTAATAATGAGTGATGTTGAGCATCTTTTCACGTGTTTGTTAGCCATCTGTATGTCTTCTTTGGAGAAATGTCTGTTTAGGTCTTTCCCCCACTTTTGAATTGGGTTGTTTTTCTAGTATTGAGTTGTATGCGTTTCTTGTATATTTTGGAAATTAATTCCTTATCAGTTGTTTAATTTGCTATTATTTTCTCCCATTCTGAAGGTTTTCTTTACACCTTGCTTATTGGTTTCAATATCTTGCAATTTTAAGATCTTGGGTACTATACAATTCATCCAAAATATTACAAAGGAATATAAAGACAAAGTCTAGGGTTTTACTTGTACTTTAAGAACATTGTTTTCTTCACCTAATAAGAAGAAACTCAAATTACAATTTTTTGTTAAATGAGCATAGAAAATTCCGGAACTTTTTTCACTTTTTAAAAATTTTCAACTGTTTCCACTATTGGTTAAAGTCTGATTCACGGCAAATTGACGAGAGACCCATTGTTTTCAACAGGATAGAAATCATTTCCAGATTTACTAACAGAGATATAACCCCAGTATCTTTAAACAATATTGTGCTCAAGTAAGTGGCAAAATATAAAATAAATATTTGGTTATCTGATTGTAAAATGAACAACTTGTTGAATTCTCAATGTTTTATTCAATTTTAAATGAATATCTTAACAAATCCTATGCATTCTGTTGCTATATGAAGAAAACTTTGTTATTTCATACCACATGTAAACTTGGAGATATAGAATAAAATGAGGAATAAGAAACAAAACAAGCCTTAAATTTATAATGGTTAAGTAATTTATTACTTCATTTCTTATTTCAGGTATGCATGAATTTTCTCACTTGTTCTAAAATTAAGTAACATACAGTTGACCCACCACAAATATTAACAGCCTTGTATGTTGTGGAAGATGTATATCAGGTCATTGCTGAATCTTAGAAAATGTAATTAATTCCAAACAATGTTATCTCAATGTGTTTTACTCTATTGCATGTGGCATAAATACAAATAATCAGGCTCTATTTGGCATAATTTTGAAAATGACTAAGAAATCAATGACAATCCAGAGGAGGAAGTGATATATGTTTTTTGAGTTATGTAAGACTACCTTATTAGTGATGCTATCACATCACTTAGTGATTAATAAAAAGACAGAATCCAGATAAGAGAAAGCTAGAAGACACTTATGTGACAGAGTGAAAAGAGAATCAGAAATGCAGAGATTTTGTGACATACTAATTGTGATCACCAGACTGGAGACTAAATTTCAAAAGCTCTCAGGTTATCAAGGATAGGGAAAATTACTAAGAAAATTATACATGACTTCTGATTTTAAAGCAGTAGGAAATACTCCTATTCTACATGTGACAACAAAAGGGAATGCACTGAAAATGATGTGCTATCTACAGTCAGAAACTATAGCTCTCTAGGCAAATGGAATAAAAGCACTGGAATTTAAGGTAAAGCAAAGTCTAGTTTCATGAATTTCAGTCTAAGTAGCAGAGTAAAATTTATAATAAAATACAAGGTAGCTAATAGATGTGCTTGTGTGTGTGTCTGTGTGTCTATGTAAATGACCATGTTGATGCTAAGATGAGAATAATACAGTGAGCTGAATTAAATATCTAAATAAGAGACAGAAAAAACTAAGTGCACTCCTAGAAGGCACAGGCAGAACTGAGAATGGAAAGGCTCATGGGAAAACACAGAGAAACAGAGAAATACAGAATAAGTGGAAGCTACAATTGAAGAGGAGGAAGAATGAAATGAAAACACTAAGGATAAATGTCATAAGTAGTCTATCAAATAAAAGAAAGAAACATAGGTACCATTTATACATAAATATACATTCAAAAAAGATAAAAATACAATATATAGGTATGAATATGGTAATAGATCTAAGTTAACTTAGACAGGTTCGGTTTATACCTGTTACATGAGTGTAATTGTTAACAGTTCCCTGCTTCCTTTCAGAAAATATCAACTTTTGGATGATAAAATTAACGTTTCTAGTTCATGAAGATAGTGACTTATAGACATAACTAATGTTATACATATATATGTATAAAAATTTCTATGTGTAGACAAGTTTGCATTCCATATACACTCACCTTAATTGAAAATTATTCTATGAATTATTTCTATGAAATCATCATAAATTGAGCTTTGAGTCATTTGCTTTGAATATTATACTTGCAGTGAATATACTCTATGACATAAGACCCTTCTGAGTGCTCCTTTCACTTCTGTATTTCTCAAGCTGTAGATCATGGGGTTTAACATTGGAGTAATAATTCCATATAACATGTAGATGAGTCTATCTCTTGCTGGGAAGTGTTGACTGGAATAGGGACGTACATAGGTAAATACTGTCCTGCCACCAAATAAACAAACCACTAGAAGGTGGGAAGCACATGTGGAAAAGGCTTTATGCTTCCCCACTGCAGACTGAATCTTTAGGATGGTAGATACAATGTAGAAGTATGAGACAAAAGTAACCAGAAAGGAGCTGATCCCCAAGATACCTCCTTCCACTAAAATAAGCATTTCTGCCACATAAGTGGATGAGCATGAGAGGACCAGCACTGGTGGGATGTCACAGTAGTACTGGTTAACTTGGTTGGACTTGCAGAAAGAAAGATGGAATGTGAACACTGTATGAAGGAGGGAATTGAGAAACCCTGCTACCCAAGTCCCAGCAGTTAGCTGAACACAGCGAACCTTGGTAATGATGAGGGTGTAACGAAGAGGGAAACAGATGGCCACATACCTGTCATAAGCCATGACAGAGAGAAGGAAGACTTCAGTTCCCACAAGGGCCACCAGAAAGTAAAGTTGCAAAGCACACCCAATATAGGAAATGCTGTGCTTCTCAGTCAAGAGGTTCTCCAGCATCTTGGGGACAGTAACTGATGGGCAGGATATGTCTAAGAGTGACAGATTTGCCAAAAAGTAATACATGGGTGTGTGCAGTTTTTTCTCAGTTCCAATGGCCAAGAGAATGGCCCCATTTCCCCCCACGGTGACCTGATAGATGATGGTAAAGACCACAAAGAGAGGGTAGCGCACCTCGGGGCGATCAGAAAGCCCTATGAGGATAAAATGAGTCACTGTGGTTTGATTGTAGGCATCCATCTCATCTGTCTACAATGGTCTTTCTGGAGGAAATGTAACAAACAAAAACAGATTAAAGCAAAAAGCCAATGAGGTAAGCAATGAGAAATTCTTACATGATAGTTGGTGAGCAGTTGTGGGTAATGTTAAAATTACATTTTAATTAGAGATTTTGATTATTATGTGTGTGCATTCAGGCAAGCCCAACTCTTTAAGATGCTATGGACTGCAGCCCATCAGGCTCCTCTATCCATGGGGTTCCCAGGCAAGAATACTGGAATGAGTTGCCACGCCCGCCTCCAGGGGATCTTCCAGATCCAGGGATCAAACCCACATCTCTCATGGCTCCTGTATTGCAGGTGGATTCTTTACCCCTGAACCACTGGGGAAGTCCTTTGATTATTATAACTACTACGTAAAAATCTCCTGCTTTCATAATTCTTGAAGATTCATTCTCTGTTCATTTTCAAAAGGAAGCCCTCTGAGAAAATTTTTTTAAAAAAATTCAAAATTTGCCTTCCTTTAAACCACTGTGGACCTGTTTGGGATTTCACAGCTCAGTGAAGCTAAGATGTGCTTCCCACACCTCCTTGGGCATTTATCTTATTTTGCCTATATTATCTTAATGTGTACAATTTTATGCACAATCTCAGTATAAAATACCTTGCAGTTAGAAGTAGTGTATTATTCCTTGGTATATACATTTTAATAAATGCTAGAAACTTGAAAACATATTGTATATGAACATTCATCCAAATAACTGTTGAGGAAAGGAATGAACAAAGGCCTCCTGCATTGCGGGTGTATTTTTTACCTCCTGAGCCACCAGGGAAGCCCAAAGGAATGAATGCCATTTAATTTGCTCTGACAAAGTGTTTCTATAAGTAAAAAATAGATATGGAGATGTGTTCATAACTTCAGAATCATAAATATCAACATTAACATGTATTCTCCACAGACAGTATAGTGAAAGTGAGTCACTCAGTCGTGTCCGACTCTTTGTGATCCCATAGACTATACAGCCCATGGAATTCTCTAGGCCAAAATACTGGAATGGGTAGCCTTTCCCTTCTGCAGGGGATCTTCCCAACCCAAGGATCGAACCCAGGTCTCCCGCATTGCAGGTGGATTCTTTACCAGCTGAGCCACAATGGAAGCCCACAGAAAGTATACTTCAATAAAATTAAATTTGCCTACATAATATAAAGTAAACCTGGTCTGAGTTTCCCAGGTAGCACTAGTGGTAAAGAACTCGCCTCTCAATGTCAAAGACATAGAGATATGAGTTTGATCCCTGGGTGGAGAACATCTGCTGGAGGAGAGCATGACAACCCACTCCAGAATTCTTGCCTGGAGAATCCCCTTGAACAGAGGAGCCTGGAGGGTTAGAGTCCATAGAGAGTAGGACACTACTGAAGCAACGAAGCATGCATGCAGGCTAAGAGTGTTTGAATGTGAGCCTAACACAAAACAAATGTATTCATTAATAATATTTTTTCTTCTTAAAACTTAAATAAATCACTATGTGTATATGAATATTTAAAGAAATATGGGGTTCCAGAATTATATATGCTTGAACATACTGGCAATACTAATTATTCTTTAATTTTCTAATTTTAATTGCATGGATATTAATAGTCCACATAATCATAGTGTTTATGATATTTACAAAAAAATGATTTTACTTGAAGGTCTACAAATCAATACCTCTGGATTTTTTGTCACTTTTTTTTTGTCACTTTGAAATTAACTATTTTCATTTCATATGTGTAACAGAAAAACTTGATTAGAAAATAAAATGCAAAGTCATTTTCAGTGGTTCCCCCTTTCTCAACATTTGTTTTGTCTACTGGACATTCTTAATGATTTACTTACTGAGATAATATATATTAGTAGAAATGATATAATTTATGCACAATGATTTCTTTATACATGTGAAATGAAATTACTTTCTGCCATGTTTTTTTTTCCCATGCAATATTTAAATAAGAATCTTTGAGAAACTTTGGGAGATGTTTTTTCTCTTTCTACAAGCTGCACCAGATCTGTACCATGCTTGAGAGAAAAAAAAAAAGAGAGAGAGAGAGAGAGAGAGACTCTCAATAATTCTCAGATCATGAAATTTAGGAAAGAAAATTCTGATGATAACTACAGTGTCTGGATACTGTTAGTCAATCAATAGAAGATGTTTAATAAGTAAGAAAAATATCAAAACAACAGCGTCTACCATGTCAGTTCTCAAATTCTCAAATTTTCAATATTTTACTGCATTGTTCAATTTCAGTCTACACCTTAATAAGGTTAATAGTTTTAAAATAATATTCAATTTATGGAACTTTTGAAGATACTTTATAAGAAAATTAGTATCTTGAGTTATTAACTTCTATGCTAAGTACTCATTTTTCTTTATACCCACACTTATTAATTTGACTAATTTTTTTAGTGAGGATTATGAAAAATAAGTCAAAAACATCCTGACAGACACATAAGGTAGTTCTACATCAGGAAACATAATCAACATGCATCTTTTAAAATATAAGATTTTTCCTAAATTTTGTACTTTATCACTTTTAAGTCAAGTTTAGGTTCTTGGCACATAGAATACAGAATTTGTTAATGAAGGGAAGAAACTTTTACTCATGCGAACAATACATATCTTAAATCAAACACAGTTAAAGCTTAGGTATTTCTCATCTGATTAGAAAATAATTTTTTTTAATAATACATTGCTAAGGAAGAGGTTCTATAACATTTCTTATTAACCCAAGAGATTGGTAGCAGTATATTAAAAAATCAAAGAAATTCTTAGAAAATAAAATCTCACTTGCTTTGTGAAATTAATTGGTATAAATATAAGCATATGAGTTTTTTTTGAAGAATCCAGGTTAAAATCAGTTTTTTATCATAAATAGCCAAATAATGAGAACTGGAAGTAGAACTGAGTGGCTTAAAACTAGCCCTTTCTTGGAAATTGCCCAGAAATCAACCTTTCTTATTATATTTGCATATGGTGTAATCAAGTGTATAAGCTTTTTTCTTTAGCAGTTATTTGATGATTCCACTATATAGAGAAAAAGAAAATTAGTTAATTAAGCAGGAATAATCACTTAAAACTATTACATCTTAAGATAATTGAAAATGTATAATTATAATTAAGTTATATATCAATATCAAAGAAAAATTACATTTAAACAGGATTTTTTGTTAAAGATAAATTTCTAGAGAAGTTCTAAAACCATTTTTAACTCATGAACTGACAGCTAATAAACTAAATAAATTTTAAAAATATATCCTTTACCAAGTTTTATCTGCTTTGTGACATCTTTGTTGCCTGTAGGGCTCATGGGACCTAGGTTTCTAGAGAACATACATTCATGTCTATGGGTCAGAAACATTGATTAGATAGAGCAGCATTTCCCATAGAGAGGTTTTGGATACACACTTGTGTGGGAATGCACAACTTTCAGGACTGAAATTAACAATTTAAAACCTTTATAAAAATACTCATTTTAAAATATTTGAAATTTATCACTTTATCTTACCCATCTAGCATTTAGTTTTAACTAATTTTTAACATGTGTACATATTCTCACCATATTAACATTTTTACAAACATCCTAATTTTTAATCTTAGTTATAAAAGTCTAGAATTTAACATACTACTTTCTAGCCTTTTCAGCAAACTCATTACATATATGAACATTCACTAAGAAGAAAGTAAAATGATCTAACATGCCCCCCCACCTACCCACCCAACCACCACCCAAGCTCAGTAAATTAAAGTAAACTACTCAGGTCTATGGACTTCCCTAGTAGCTCAGAGGGTAAAGAATCTGTCTGCAATGCAGGAGACCCAGATTCAATCCCTGGATTGGGAAGATCTCCTGGAAAAGAGAATGGCAACCTACTCTAGTACTCTTGCCTGGAAAATTAAACAGACAGAGGAGTCTGGTAGGCTACAGTCCACTGGGTTGCAGAGTCAGACACTAGTGAGTGACTAACACTTTTACCCACCTCTATATAACATGCATTCTGCAATTTATCCTATGGTTTATATTGTGCCCTCTTCTTCCTTAGGGAGGATAAAACAATAATAAGGACTACGGAGAATATATACTTTTCTTCTTCATGATCTCATCTATTACCTACCTAAAAATGGACACCTGTTCATAATAATGGACATGTATTAATAGTAACAGGCACTTGATGTATAATTAGCCAATTTAATCTAAGTTGAAAAAGAAGTTACAATATATGAGTGAAAATTTTGTTCCTTATAACTGTCTAAAATACAATTAAATAAAATATTTTCCAGGAATTAAACTGCCAGATAAAAGTGAGGAAGTTAGTGTTACTGAATTTTTTCTGTAATCAATCATTTCAGCAAAATATGATTACACAATCTACTTGCTATGTTTTTCATTTTCAAGATAGATAAAGTTTTATAATACATGTATGCATTAAACATATTTTTTATGGTGCTAAGACTGCCCAGCTGAAAAGTTGTTTATTATAACCATTTGGCTTGAGGCTCAACATTCAGAAAACTAAGATCATGGCATCTGATCCCATCCCTTCATGGCAAATAGATGGGGAAACAATGGAAACAGTGTCAGACTTTATTTTGGGGGGCTCCAGAATCACTGCAGATGGTGACTGCAGCCATGAAATTAAAAGACTCTTGCTCCTTGGAAGAAAAGCTATGACCAACCTAGACAGCATATTAGAAAGCAGAGACATTACTCTGCCAACAAAGGTCTGTCTTAGTCAAAGCTATGGTTTTTCCAGTAGTCATGTATGGATGTGAGAGTTGGACCTCAAAAAGCTGAGTGCTAAAGAATTCATGTGTTTGAACTGTGGTGTTGGAGAAGACTCTTGAGAGTCCCTTGGACTGCATGGAGATCCAACCAATCCATCCTAAAGGAATTCAGTCCTGAATATTCATTGGAAGGACTGATAATGAAGCTGAAACTCCAATTCTTTGGCCACCTGACTGAATCCTTGGAGAAGACCCTGAAGTTCGGAGAGATTGAAGGCAGGAGAAGAAGGGGACAAAAGAGGATGAGATGGTTGGATGGCATCACCGACTCAATGGATGTGAGTTTGGGTACACTCCAGGAGTTGACAATGGACAGGGAGACCTAGCATGCTGCAGTCCATGGGATCGCACAGTTGGACACGACTGAGTGACTGAACTGAACTGGAGATTCAAATTGCATGGAATTTCAAACTTATTTCAACCTATAACTGCAAACTCAATTTTCTAGAATAATGGTTTTAATTTTAAAAATTCAGATACATACATTTCAAAAAATATATGTGCATATTATGTGTTTTGGGGGCTTCCCTGGTGACTCAAATGGTAAAGAATCTACCTGCAATGCTGGAGACCTGGGTTAGATCCTTGAGTGGGGAAGATTCTCTGGAGAAGGGAATGACTATCCACTCCAGTATTCCCTGGAGAATTCCACGGACTGAAGGGCTACAGTCCATGGGGTCACAAATAGTTGGACACAACTGAGCAACTCATACTTTCATTCTCTATGTGTGTTTAGTGAATACAGGTGAACGGTACACAGATGTTCATCATACAATTTCAATTTTTGTATAACTTTGTAACTTTTCAAAACAAAGTGTTGGGGAAAACTCAAACACAAACATAAAACATGACACAGGGAAAAGTCAGCTTTGCCATCTAACCTGATGTTCACATGCCTACTCAACCATTCTGCTATTATGAAATAGCAACTACTTTTAGCTCTATGCTATTTTCTTTTGGAGATAGACTTTTCCCATTTACTCAGAGTAATTTGGTTACATGGACTTCTCTGTTTGCTTCCTTTTTTTCTTTAGCTTGTTTACTGGCTATTTAGAAGGTCTGTAATCTCTTTTTAGACCTTCGCATGGTTTCTGTTGTACTTTACAAAATAAATTTTAACCTAAATTTATTTATATGTTACCCTCATCTTTTAGACCTTTGGATAACAGAGATGGATACCCTGTTAAGAAATAACATGGAAAAGCCTGTTCAGTCAGTCAGTTGAGTCACTCAGTTGTGTTCGACTCTTTGCGACCCCCATGGACTGCGGCACGCCAGGTTTCCCTGTCCATCACCAACTCCGGGAGCCTGCTCAAACTCATGTCCATGGAGTTGGTGATGAACTATCTCATCCTCTCTCCCCTTCTCCTCCTGCCTTCAATCTTTCCCAGCATCAGGGTCTTCTCTAATGGGTCAGCTCTTCACATCAAGGGGCCAAAGCACTGGAGCCTTAGCCTCAACATCAGTCCTTCCAATGAATATTCAGGACTGATTTCCTTTAGGATAGACTGCTTTGATCTCCTTGCAGTTCAAGGGACTCTCAAGAGTCTTCTCCAACACCACAGTTCGAAAGCATCAATTCTTTGGCGCTCAGCTTTTTTTATGGTCCCACTGTCACATCCATACATGGCTGCTGCTGCTAAGTTACTTCAGTCGTGTCCGACTCTCTGCGACCCCACAGACACCAGCCCACCAGGCTCCCCCATCCCTTGGATTCTCCAGGCAAGAACACTGGAGTGGGTTGCCATTTCCTTCTCCAATGCATGAAAGTGAAAAGTGAAAGTGAAGTTGCTCAGTCGTGTCCGACTGTTAGCGACCCCATGGACTGCAGCGTACCAAGCTCCTCCGTCCAAGGTATTTTCCAGGCAAGAGCTCTGGAGTGGGTTGCCATTGCCTTCCATACAAGGCATACAATGCCTTCCATACATTCCATCCATACAAGACCGGCAAAGTAACGTCTCTACTTTTCAATAGACTGGTCATCGCTTTTCTTCCGAGGAGCAGGCGTCTTTTAATTTCAAGGCTGCAGTTGCCATCTGCAGTGATTTTGGAGCCCAAGAAAATAAAGTCTGTCACTGTTTCCATTCCACACGCCCCCACACACCATTTATTTGCCATCAAGTGATTCCTAAATTAAGAGATCTGTCAACAGTATCCGGGGCCCACGCCTCCCCACTTCCAGTTGGGAGAGGGGTCCCGCTGGGCCCACGGGGAGGCTGGCAAGTGAGACCGCGCGTGTGCTGTGTGCGGACAGCGAACCCCGTGGTTAGCCCAGGACCCGGACGCCGGGTCCTTGCTCCCCAGTCCCGCGGCGGTTAGAAGCCCCTAGAGCCTGCCCTCGCCAGGAGCCGCAGCCACTGCTGGTATGAGGGCACGGGCTGGGCCGCCTCGCTGGAGAACTTGTCCCGAGGACGTGAGTCTTGAGTCGGACTAGATGAATACGGATCTGCCAAGGACTGGCGGATGATTTGCGTGGACGGGGCCCCTCGGCGGCACGCGTTGGGGCCGCAGGTAAGACGCCCCGGCGGCGAAGCCAGGTCGCGGGAAGCTGCGCGGTGGCGGGGGCCGGTCGGCCTACCAGGCGTTGCCAAAGCGCCCTCGTGTGTGTGGCGGTGGGACCCCGCGCTCGTTTTCCTGGTGGTCTGGCCGTGTCTCGGTCTTTTTGTTCCCTGGACAGCGCCTGTGCCCCTGAGCCACGGCCCTGGCTGTGAGTGCTTGCCGCCCCTCCCTGTCGCAGCTGGCCCTTTTCCTGTCCCGCACGGGTGACCGCCCGCGCCCCCTTCAGCTGTCAGGGACCGAACCGGCCACGCCTCACCTGGATGTCGTCCCCCGGCCTCCGTCGCCTGTGGCGCCCCTGGGCGGAGGGCCCTCGGTTCAAGAGCGGGGAACGCTGGGACGCCGGGTTGCGCGTGAGGGGCGTGAGGGCGCAGGTACGCGCACTGAGAGCCTTCTCCCGCGCCGGCTGCGACTTTGGGTGTTGGCGGTGGTGGTCGAGAGACCCGCAAGGGCTCCCCTGGTGGCCGGGGAAGCCAGTCGGCGTCCTGGGTGCCGCGGGACCGCCCCTGTGCTAGAGGCCTCTGGCGGTGAGACCCCGTGGCGTGCCCGGGCGGCCGACTCACGATGGCGACTCGTTTTGAACGTCTCGGGGCCCCTCGCGATGGCGCGCGGCAGCCCCACCCAACAGCCGCTTCTACGCCGCCGCCACGTCTTCGCGACGCCGGCCTATCTGGCTGCACCCTGTGGGTCCCTTTCTCCGTCAGTCCGTCTGCCGACCCCCAGGGCCGCGCCCGGTGCGGTTCGCTTCGCGAGCCGCCGCGGCTCCGCTCCGTAGCCCGACGCCGAAGCCTGTCCGCCGACGTCATTTAGTGCTGGGCGAGAGGGAGCGCCATGCCCCGCAGTGCCCTACTCCGGCCGCTCCCGAGCGCGGGTTGGGTCCCCGCCAGCGGTCATGGACCGGCCGCGTGCACGCGCCGACCGCCCCCGTGCGGGAGAAAGCGAGAGCGCATCTGCAGGTCCCCACGCGACAGGCGGGTGTCCCCTGACACGCTCCCGGGCCGCCGGGGCAGGGTGCCTGCCACGGGGGACGCCCCCTCGTTCCTCCACGCCGCCGCTGTGATGCTCTGCGCCTCGAGTGGACCAAGCGTGGGTAGGTGCGCCCTCCTCGGTGAGGCGGGTCAGTCGGCCCCCAGTGATCGTCTCCCCCTTCCTCTCTTCGTGGGTTGCTGCTGCCCTGCCGCCCTCCACCCGCGCCCAGATCCCTGTGCGCACTTGGCCAGCTTTCCTGGTGGCTCAGATGGTAAAAAGTCCGCCTGCAATGCTTAAGACCCAGGTTGGATCCCTGGGTCTGGAAGATCCTCTGGAGAAGGGAATGGCAACCCACTCCGGTGTTCTTGCCTGCGGAATCCCGTTGACAGAGGAGCCTGGCAGGCTACAATCCACGGAGTCGCCAAAGAGTGGGACATGACTGAGCGAATAACACTTCCCTGGTGGCTCAGAGGTTAAAGTGTCTGCCTGCAATGCGGGAGACCTGGGTTCAATTCCTGGGTTGGGAAGATCCCCTGGAGAAGGAAATGGCAACCCACTCCAGTATTCTTGCCTGGAAAATACCATGGACGGAGGAACCTGGTGGGCTACAGTCCATGGACTTGCAAGGGGTCGGACACGACTGAGCGACTTCACTTCACTTCATCAACTGTATAGCTGAGCCATAATTTGTTTAAACTTCGGTGAAGGAGCATATAAATTCTTTCCAGTTCTCATTATTTCAACAAAATACTTTAGTAAACACCTTTGATTATGGTTAAGTGCATATTGGAGTCATTAGGATAGAATTATAGAACTAGCTTACTTGCATAAAGATTTCACAAAATTTTCATTTAGATGTCTTCTGCCAATTTAGGTCAAATCCTTAAACCTATCTTACTATTGATAGCAAGTATTATTTGATATATTTGTACAAGCAGAAGCTGGACCATCCTCTATAACCATGTGCCAAGGGAAACTTTCATGCACAGATGGGCTCAATAAAGGACAGAAATGGTATGGACCTAACAGAAACAGAAGATATTAAGAGAGGTGGCAAGAATACACAGAAGAATTGTACAAAATAGATCTTCACGACCCAGAGAGTCACGATGATGTGATTACTCACCTAGAGCCAGACATCCTGGAATGTGAAGTCAAGTGGGCCTTAGGAAGCATCACTATGAACAAAGCTAGTGGAGGTGATGGAATTCCAGTTGAGTTATTTCAAATCCTAAAAGCCGATGCTGTGAAAGTGCTGCACTCAATATGCCAGCATTTTGGAAAACTCACCAGAGGCCACAGGACTGGAAAAGGTCAGTTTTCATTCCAATCCCAAAGAAAGGCAATG